TACAAAATGACAAGATACTCTTGGATTTCATGTTTCTTAAAAACTAATGATATGTACAAGGGTTTTTTGCATAGATTTATGAAAAATATTGTTTCCTCAATAACATACAATTCTGCACTATGAAGCTATTATATATTTACAGAAAAACTATGTGTATAAGATGTTTCCTTTAACTAGGTACAATCAAACATCTTGACTGTTTTTACAAGAAAACATTTAATTCAAAAGTTGTAATTAGATACAAGAGTAAGTATCTGTTAATAAAAGAAATATCAAAGTGAACTTAATCTTTTTAATGAGGCTCTACATCCATTTTTTGTTCACAATATCTTGAAATGAATTTAACAACCTATCTCACTTGATATAGGGTGGTAATAACATAATGTTATAAATTATATTCCAAGGTGTTAAATTATGTTTCTTAATGATTTATATCTACTTATACGATTCTTCCTTTTGTAATTAAATATTCCCTAAAATGATGCCAGTATTGCTAATTCATAAATGGGATTTTAATGTTTTACCTACCACTATTCATCTTGTAATGACAAATTAATTCTTTGGGACTTAATTTATGGCTACACAGAAATATATCATATTGTGAACAAAAAAATATCAAGTTCTGTTAAGAAAAAGTTGATTTCAGTTTGATATCTTCCTTATTAATATTCATCCATATTTATAGTGACATAGATATAATATCATTGACATTGACAGTATAACATGTCTTAGTTCCCAATAGCTAGTAGTTACTTTTCTTATATGTAAATTAATGAAATTCTGACTGCAAAAATTTAAACTTAAATGATCTGTTTCTCGTAATATTCAATTTACAGTAAAATAACTTACAAAATTATCTCTTGTAATATTATCATCTAAATAATATTTGAATGGATATACTTAAAAAAAGACGCTGGTACAATACTAATGAAAAAATAAATAAACGAAATAATTATAGACATCTATTGTAGATTATTATATTAAATAAACGATTAAAATTTTCGTTTTAAGAGAAAATACTTCATTTTTTGCAAAGATAACTTATTCGGAATATTGAAAAAATTAACAATATATTATTTATGTTTATCCAAACCGATAAATTCCTGTTGAAATTTTCTATGACATGATACTGGGATATTTGGAACTAAAGAACATCAATAAAAATAAAATTAGTATTTATATCACAATATCATATACATCCAAAATATACTATAATAATTTAATACTTATAACAAATTTAATTTTGTTTTATATCAAATATATGTATACATTTAATCTTACAAAAAAAGTTTAAGATAAGTATTATCATTATGTTTATTACATAATTTTATAGAATTATTTTATTTTGACTTAATTACAAAATTAGAAAATGAATAAATATTATCGATAATGCAGAGATTATCTTTTCCATTAGAGGTCGCTAACATGCGAATAAAGAAAGAGCGTACAGGTTTCTATTTCAATAAGATTGTTTTCTTTTCATGTTTTTATATTCAATATTCTCTAAAATTAAACTGTTCAACCATTGACTAATAGAATAGACCCGACATCCAATGCTTTTTCGTATCCCACGTTTTGAGAATCACTTGACTCTCTTACCATTTTGTGTCACATCCTATCATATCGACAGGCAAGCATTGCCACAGCATTCATAATCCTCGAATGTGTTTGTGCCTCTCCTACTACTAGAGTCTATATTACGGAATTTCTTTACAAAATTTTGTCAAAAATTTAATAACACACTTTATTGAAATTTTATATAAATTTAAAATGATATATTCTCACTGCTCATTCTCATTCTTTTTTCGATTGCCTTCAATTGTTGTCGTGCAAAATGACAAATGAAAAGCAAGTTAAAAGGACAGTTTAGAATTTCCTGACGAAAGCATAGTTGTCAATCTAAAAATTTGACATGGTGCTACATTTTTGTTCCGTCTTCCATCGATCAGTCCATGATGAAACTAGCAAAATAGACGGATGCATGATTGTCGTTGTCTCAGAGTCTTAGGTATTCGCTCGAGATCGATCAAAATTATTCGATTTGATTCAATTCCGAAATGTTAAATACTCTCATCCGGAAAATTTGAACAAATTTCTAGAATAATTAAAAATACAAGTCTTATTATAACTTCGTAAAAAAAAAACATGTAACTTTACTTAAAATCTTTTTAAAAGATTTTGCTTTGATTATCTTTGTTTAAAGATATTTTTACGTCATACAAAAGAGAGAAATTAAAGAAAATTCTATTCTCGAAATTTGTAAAAATTCGAACGTCTTTAAAAATATTGAGAATTTTTTCATGACTGAAAATCCACTATAGTCTAGAGAATTCAAATTTTTCCATTTTCGATCACATTCTAAACTTGCTGTACAATTTTCTTTGCCATTCTATTGTACTTATTGTAAAATTAGAAAATAAAATGTTAGGATTTCTCAAATTTTTACCATTACGTTAATCTATACATTCATAATGTTTCTTACGGAGACTTTCATGGCCCTGCAATACCGACATACTAAAAAAAATCACTAGTTTTTTAGCGCACTCTACGTTTAGACAACGGTGAGTAGAGGAACTAACGATTGAACCAGTAACATGATTTTTAAGACCCATTACAGTGTTCTCAAACTCTCAATACCGAACTGTGAAGCCAGTAATCACAGACGAAGTAACCGAAATCACTCTACTCTGTCCCAGAAAGAAGTCTATCCATGTTTTGCGGACAACACTTAAATTAAAATTTAAAAATTATTAATACATGATTTTATGTATAAATTTTTAACTAACAAAATTTTCAACCATTTTAAATTATTATTAATATTAAAATATTAAAATTATTATATTTCCACATTTACATATCCTTTGTATTATATATCCAAATTTACGTTAAATTTGTTACAATTTTATTATAATTGTGCAATGAACTGGCTATGACAAATAACATAAATTCAATAATTGATTAGTTAAAAATTACGTGTATTAATTAAAATATTATTCGAAATTTTTCTATAAAATACCTTGCTTATCAATATTATGATAATAACGATCATTTATTTAATTGTTGATCATTTATTTACTTATTACTTATTTAATATAAATCTTTAATATTTCATGAAGATTTAATGAAAAATATAGATATACGTACGAAATATATGCTTATACACTTATATCTCGCAAAATCGACTAAAGAAATATTTTTACAAAGGGGTACATTATACGGTGCAAATTATATTTCATATTTTCGAGTGATGGAATTATAAATTTACTAATGAGCAAGGAGGAAATTACTAATGAGCAATGTTTTAAATTCATAAAATCTTAATACTAACATATATATCATTAAGTCACTCGTACTTCATATCATTTTTATTAATAATTTATAACAATGAACAAATGATTTCGGCCGTTGAAAATGCAACTCAGTGAGTTCGCCTTAATAAATAACATCGTACTATAAAAAAGAAAATATGTATGGTATCGTTTTAAAGAATAAATTAAACTTCGAAATTTCGAAACGGATGAATTTTGCAGGAAATAATTAACAACACATAATGTGCTTCTTTGTTGTAAACAATATTTTTGTAGAAATATTTTATTGATAAG